TACATGACGCAATCTAGAAAAAACATCTATGAGGTTTTTGTTATGGTTTTCTAATGAATTTCCAAAAATAATAAGATCGTCTAAATATACTAGACACTTCTCATATGTTAATCCTGACATTGCGACAGTCATCATTTTTGAAAATGCATTAGGGCTCGTTTTTAAACCCATTGGCATTCTTGTCATCTGGTATTGTCCAGATAACGAAGCAGTACTTTTTTCTTCATTCTCAGAAACTTTAAACTGTCCAGTACAAAATGCTGTGTATTTTCGACTGTCGGGGTCAAGGTCACATTGGTAATATCCATTAGAAAGGTCAAGAGTAGTAAAGTATACAGAACCAGAAAGTGAATCTAAAATTTCAGTAATATTTGGGAGAGGGAATTTGTCCTCTAGTATGTAGTTATTTAATTTCCTGTAATCTATTACTAAACGCCAATTCTTATTACCTGTATTATCTATCTTTTTAGGGACCAATAAAATTGGACTCGACCATTCTGATTGACATGGTTCAATTATACCTTCTCGTAACATGTTACTAATCTGCTTGTTTACTTCTTGTTTTTGCGAGTAAGGTATTCTATATGGTTTACTAAAAACTGGTTGAGCATTAGGTAGTAAACTGATTTTATGTTTGTAAATATTTGTTGTTGTTAACTTATCACCGGGTAATAAAAATATGTCGGAAAATTTCGCACAAATATTTTCTATAGTGATTTGCTCTTCCTCATTCAAATGTTTTAAATCTAATAAGCTAAACAATTTTCGCACTCTATCTGCGTTAATATTTCTACACTGCTCAAAAGTACATAAATTATAGTCACTAATTTTATGTAATTTTGGTTCAAATGTGTCAATGTGAACCTCTGTTTCGTTTGTATTTAGTATCAAAATAGGTATCACACCATTCACGGGTTTAACTAATACGCTGGCAATAAATATTCCTGTTCGTAATTCAGACGAACAAACAAGACACTCTTCAGTAATTTCGGTAGGTATGTAATGTATTGACTCGGACCTTGGTGACAAAGTTAAGTTATAAGAACCTCTTGTTTTATTTAGTTTTAAAGGCAAGATTACATTTGCATCATTATTATTTAATGTTAAACTTCTACAGCCATAATCTAATACAGCATTGAATTTCATTAGAAAATCTTGTCCTAAAATAGCATGTGCCAAACACGGCAAAGAATTAAAAACATAGAACTTCTGATTAAATGTCTGTCCTCCTAAATCATAACAATTGCTCATGGTTAAATAAACATATCCGATTGCTTCTACGGTGCCTCCGATTCCGCTTATCTTAATGCTCTCTTTATGGATAGGTATGTTTAATTCAATAACATGTTTATATTTAATAGCACTAATAGTAGCACCCGTGTCAATTAAAAATAAATATTTTGATGTATCTACGAACAATTCTACGTAACAATTACTGTTACTTGCAAATACAAACCCATTATTCACGAAAAAACTTGCTCTGCTCCTCGGTTGAATTAGTTGTTAAGAGTTCATCGTTTTTTAAAACATGAATGTTGGCATCAGTACGTTGACTGTTCTTTTGACGATCTCTGGTGTTATTATATCTATAATTAGAATTATAGTACGTACCTCGATACTGTTGTGGCTGACCTCGGGTATAGTTTTGGGACGAACGTCCACGGCCACGGTAGAAACTCGCACCACGATTGCACGTGAACCTGCTAAAGTTGTTATTCGCGAAGTTGCGACGAAATTGGTGAATGGCTCCACGATTATGCTGGCCTTGAAAATAATTATTACGTTTCCTAAAAGTTAAAACGTTTTCAGTATGAGACGGAAATGCAGTGGTCTCTTCGTCTATGGCGGCTTGCACCGCGTCCTTTAAGGTTTCAAACTTTTGTGCAGCTATTATCGTACTGAGCCGTCTATTACGTAATCCGTCGGCAAAACGTTTAATAGCTTGTTTTTCATTTAAAGGTTGTAAAATTCTAAGGTTTTCAGTTTTGCCCTCGGCTTGCGCTATAGACAAGTCCATAAATAGCTCAGTCAATTCCTTACCGTAATCATTAATCGACCTTTGATCTTGTCGCGAAGTTTGAAGTTTATTTTGCAAGGCAACTGCACTCTTTTTAGGTAAAAGAATCATACGCATATCAGTCAGTAACGCATCAATAGATGGATAATCAGACTTAAGGCTTAATTTTGCTTGGTGAGAGAGACGACTTTTTAAGACAAAGTTAATTAAACTTAATTGACACTCTTCGGTTTTTAGGGTAGAGCTATAGTACTCGATACCACCTATAAGTTGACGAGTCGTCAATTCCTCGTTATTCATGACTGGCAACAAACTCAAAGCTATCTTTAAATTAAACTCCATTTTGGATTCAAGATTCGATGTTTCACCAAATTGCTCAAAACTACTTTTAGTTATAGGTAAATGCAACTTATTACAAAACTCTTGAATTTGGGCGTATAACTTTACAATTATATCACAACGCGATTTAACTAATGACAAAGTTTCGCCACTATATATCTTATTATCTATTTGTTTTCTAATGCTCACAAGTAAAACAGAATAATCATCATATATAATAGTTGCTTCATTCAACTTTTCTCTCAAACGATCTGGTGTCCTCCTTTCTAAACTTAATTTGAACAAATTATCTTTCAATTTTTTCAAGTTTTCGTATATGTCATTAAGCTCTAATGCCATTATTTGACATTTTTAAGGAAAGTGGAGTAACCAGCTTAAGTAATAACTAATAATTAAAATATATAATATAACCGTTTACCACACATAGTTCAACACTTTTCGGATCGGTTTCACTTTACACGACACATACGCGCACTTGGTATCACACTGTAGTTTACGCACCGACATCTTCTTTATGACGTGGACGCCCTTGTCCTGGACTGCTCGAGCACGCTGAGCATCGTTTTCTTTCTGTAGTTTCCCTGCGACTACGCCGATAAGTCGAATTTCTCAGAGATTGACGTAGGATTTGGTCATTGATCCACTGGTGATGGCAGTTCTTATAGCATTTGTACAGAAAATAGGCTGCCAAGATCAGCAACAACCCCAGAATTATCATCATCACTATGCTGATCGCAGAAAGATGAAACTGTAGCTGTTCAGTAACAGCCACATTCGAAGCTCCAATGCCATTTTGGTTTATAATCACTTCTTCGCGTTTTGGGGTATAAGAATTGCACATTTTAAAGTTTTTAGTTTTTTATAATATTTCGTTTTGAAAGTTCAATAACGCAACGTACACTTAGAATAAGAGTCTGTACCACCCACGTTGCAAACCCGACACCTCAATACCAATCCTGGCAGGGTCGCCATGTAAGGATTGGTATTAGTAAAACACTCTGACTGCTGATTGAATACTGGCTCTTTATTAATAAAGGTTGATATTTAAATACACGAGTAAGATACATTGATATATGCAACTTAGAACTATAGGATATACACTACACACTACAACTGGGTTTTTGAAAACTCTCAGTAGTAGCACGGAGTCTGGAATTATGCCTGGTATATGACAATAGCCTCATCCCCTATTACATGGGACTCATAACATAAATAGCGAAAAGTGGGTGTTACATTATACAGTGGCATCAAGTAATGTAGACCTCTGCCAACCCATCAGATTTACAAGGCGTGATGTCAATAATATTGTAATCAGTAAATATAACATACATTTTGTCGGAAACCATCGAGTTCCCAATCGATAAAACGTCAAAAGATAATTAAAATGTGATAAAAAGAAAGCAATTATGAAAAATTTACTAAAACTTTTCCAAAACTCCTCCGCCTCCATTATTGACAGGCTATTTGATAAATTATCATCGCTCAGAATCTTAAGGAGATCTCGGTTTTCCAATAAAAATCTTTTTGTTCGTGTAATTTTATATTCAGACTAAAAACGTTTAATTTTTGAACGATCAAATGGTTATGTTTTAATAATAACTTAGTATAATGAGACATAGTATAGTGTCGTGGTGGCCCGGAGGTTTAAGACGCCCACTTCTCATGCATGAGGGTGCGGGTTCGAAACCTACCAACGGCAAGTACCAATGTGACTTTTTCCGAGTTATATGTACTTTCTAAGATTATGTAGACACCACTGACAAACGGTGAAGGAAAAACATCGTGAGGAAACCTGGACTTATAGTTTCTAATTATAAGTTTGAAATCGCCAATCCGCATTGAGCAAGCGGGTGATTAATGCTCTAACCTTCTCCGTGTGAGAAGAGGCTTTGCTCAGCAGTGGGCATTTATAGGCTGTTGATGATGATAATGATGATAGTGAGACATACTAAATTAACTAAAAATCGCGGGTTACTCACGTAAATGTACTGAGAAAAGCTCTACTAGTTTCGAACCACAGAGGGGTTTCTCATGAGCAGCGTGCGCGGTCGCAGCGATGTCGTGCAGCCTATTGACTGTCCGTAGGCCCTCTGTGGTTCGAAACTAGTAGAGCTTTTCTCAGTACATTCACGTTAGTAACCCGCGATTTTTAGTTAATGATCAAATGGTTTATTTAAAACGAAGACTTTGTTGGTTATACAACTATGTTTATCTTGTTTTGATAAAGAGTCGGTAAGAGATCTCTTTAGAGAAATAGGTACTTGAAAATATGATCCTCCTTCTGAAGTAGTAGGAATAGGCAAGCTGCTTTATTAGTCAAATTGGCTTAGCACTTGTTTCACTTGTTTCAGTTGTTTCACTTGTTTCACACTTGTTTCACTTGTTTCACAACGAGGCAGCGATTCCCGGGTCAGGCAAAGTATTACTTATTTTTTTTAAATATCTCAATAGTAGCACGGAGTCTGGAATTGTGCCCAGTGGCAATAGGCTCACCCAATATTACATGGGACTCATAAGATAAATAGTGAAAAGTGGGTGTTACTTCTGTATGCACCTCTGCCTATCCCTTCGGGGATAAAAGGCGTGATGTTATGTTATGTTGTACCAAAAATATTTCTTATTTATTTCATAATTTTGTTCACAGGTACCTAGGCATCCGGAATCCATTAAAAAGTCGGCATCATTCCACAAAGCGGGTGGTGGTCATCAAGATCGCACTGGTCTGGCTTCTCAGTATGTTCGTGTCTAGTTCTATTACTGTTTTAGGTAAGTTAATGCTATTATATATTAGATTTAAAAATATAAAATGCCTTCAGTTCCTGATTATATAAGGTTTATATGTATTTTCGGAAATATTTGCGATACCAAAATTGTATTTTAATAATGTGAAAGTTTGCTTGATCTAATGGTCGGAATCCGAGATTCTTTCCTCGACTGGACTCGATATGCGACCATAAGGTTGTAAGGTACAGTCGCCTAATAAGACCCACCTTATTTCAATCCTTGTATAATCTTGTAGATAAATAAAGTAGAGAAGAAACCTAATTTGGAAGTTGTAATGTATTTATTTGACAATCAAGATACCGAAAACAGTAACCATAACTGCATATTTTTTAAGTGGCCCGTCTCAGAAAACGGGCCATCTTTGGCGAACATACCTTATATAAATTCTTAACTCGTTAATAACTGACTCAGTGACTTTGAAATTATGATAACTAGTATACCCTATGCTCATACAAAATCTTATCATATTAATACATCATCACGAATAACTATCAAATACTTTAATAACAACCGCAATTAGCGAGAATTAAACTTCACTTGGCGACTAATAGAGGAATTTTAGAAGATATTACAAACAATGTCCAACAGTTTAAACTTAAACTTTAAAGTTACAAGGACAAGTTACAAATTAAACTGTAGTTAGAATACAGGTGCTAGTTTCTTGATTGCGTACAAACTTAACTTGTGGTGAAGGTCGGGAGGTTGACTTGTTAAATTATTTGGAAATCTGGCAGGTGCAGATGTGTTTTAGATAATGTAGCCTAATTTCTATCTATTAGAAAATTGATGTGACGAAAATAAATTGGTATAGGATTTGTTTCTATAATAATTATCACGTGAATATACTGAGATGCGCAGATGCGGCGATGTCGTAGGCTGCGCGAACGTGCACGCTGCTCCTGAAAAAGAACCCCTCCGTGCTTCGAAACTAGTAGAGCTTGTCTCAGTATATTCACGTGAGTAACCCGCAATTTTTGGTATAGGATTTGCTTAGATTACAATGTAAAAATGATTTCTTAATTATTTTTGCATGTATCGTGTCGTTTGTCTATTTCATCACTTTGTGTGATCCACAAATTGTGGTTTCGTGTCTGGGTGTCATGTGTATGTGAACTTGTATGTTTGTAAACGCACCTACGACACAGGAGATAATCTTAGTGTGGGGCAACGTGTTTTTTAAAAAAATAATAAAAAAAGAAAAGTCAACTAAAGTAAAGCAAGTAAAGTTACTAAAGCCAAGGATACAGTAGGACTCGAGGGCACAAATGTCCTACGACACGTGTCGCCAGCAACAATGGCTGTGACGTTGCCAGACTTTGGTCGACATGTCTGGGAACATCAACGTCACTGTGGACATAAGGCACGCGTTGTTGCCTTATAATATGTCGGGCGAGATCGGCCAGCTTCGCTTATCATGTCGCTGATATATGTTGTGAGACATTTGTTCCCTGTATCCATGGTTTAACTCAAAAATTACCTACTTTGCATAACAGAGTTTACTGCAAAAGCTGCGCTAGCTGGCAATGATAGGTGAGCTGCTGATGATGATGATAATGATGATGATAAACCAATTCATAAATAGAATACTCAAAACGTGTGAGGTACAAGGAACTCCAAAGAATCGTAATAAATCACAATCTACCAAAAATGGCGATTCGTTTACGCTAAAATGAGTCTTAAGTCTAGTGGTATAAATCAGTGCTTTCTCTATTACAAGCTGGCAATTACTAGCTAGTATTGTTAACTTGAACAAATAATTGGGAAAAGGAATGGAACTTGGCTCGCTGTCAAAACGTAATTTCAGACCAATTGGTCGAAGTGAACGGTTTTAAAATAACAAGTCATTAACAGGTTCGGTGGGTTACGTATTTTGTTTTTAAAAGAAATACCCTATTTTAGATGGTTTTAACGATTCTTTTTTGTTAATTCTGCTGTTCTTTTACGACTTTTCAAAGGAAGATAGGTATCTTCCTCCTGGATATAAGGCCTTTTTTAAAGTTTAATACTAAAATAAAACAGGACTTAAGATCAAATAAAATTAATGAGGTCATAAGACTAACTCGTATTGACGAAGTTAAATAAAGCGTTTCAAGTTAAGCCAGGAATCATGCAATAGGTTTTATAAATATAAAAAATCGAATTGCATAAACTAAGCTTACTTATAAACTAGATTTCGACTGCTTCGTTGTCGCAAGTCGACTGCCGGGAAAGGGGTTTCGGGTCGGGTAAAGTATTACTAAGATTTTATAAACTTTCCAGTAGTAGCACGGAGCCTGGAATTGTGCCCGGTGTATGGCAATAGGCTCCCACCTATTACACGGGACTCGTAACATAAATAGTGAAAAGTGAGTGTTACATTGTACAGTGGCATAATGTGCACCTCTCACCACCTCTACGCCTTTGGGAATAAAAGGCGTGATGTTATGTTATGTAGATTTTAACCTTTCGATTGTAATTTCTATATCTTTGCATTGTATTATTGCGTTACTCTTGACTTTCTACTCTATACAAAAACAATCACAAAAAATCATCTTCAAACGTACCACCTAATTCAAATCCTTTTTGTCCCCAGGTCTTATAAACCGCACCAACATAATGCCGACTCCAGACCTCTGCGTGATAAACAACCGCTTGTTCTGGATCTTCGGATCACTGGTCGCTTTCTACATTCCTATGCTCACTATGGTCGTCTCTTTTGCGCTGACTGTACAACTGCTGAAGAGACAGGCTAGACTTGCTGCCACGCCTGTACCTGGAGGAACTCAGAGAAGGTAAGAATTATGACTAGTTACTTTAGAAAAATTGGTGATCTCAAGGTCGTAATGCTTTACTCGTAATACATCAATTATTCTATCCTCTCTAATAAAATATATAAAACTATCTGTTTCCCGCGACTTAGCCCGCGTAGAATATGAATTTTAGGACATAACCTTCTTTTTCAATTTTCCAAAATGAAAGTAGCCTATTTTGTTCTTTACTACATCAGCTAACTGGGAATAAAAGTCCCGTCAAAATCGGTCGAGTCATTCTAGAGATTTGCCAGTATATACAGTCAGATAGAGAGAGATAGACAGACAAAAATTGTTAAAAACGTTATTTTGGTATGTTTATGGTATATTGGTGGAGTAGATTATAGTGTTTCTTGTTCGTTCTTCTCAATAGGAATCCACACCAGGGAATGAGTAACTAGTTTCACTTCTAAATTTTTTTGTTGTTGACGTTCAAAACTGTTTTCCTGGTCTGAATGAAATAAATGATTTGACTTTGACTTAGGTAATAAATATCGTATGTATATTCATATGCATGTAGTAAAAAGTTATGGTTATTTTATTATTACAACCAGATATTATAATTTTATTTATCTGTACAGATGTAACTGAAAAATGATTTGATGTCGACTGCTTGGCAAGATATTAAGAGTTTCATAACTCACATTTCACAGGTTACCCCGGAAAGTTGCCGCCATGCTTCCCTTGAACGAACTTTCTTGGCAGACTTTTTTGACTTAAGTAATTTCTAAGTCATTCCAGCTAAGTCGTTTTGTTAGAAGAATGAAAATAACTTTATCTCCTTTATTATGGTCGTAATTTCAGTTTAATTTTTCTGCGAAAGTTAAATTCTTCCTTTTTATAACTGTTCTAAACTAAAATAATTTATTTTGTAAATAAATAATGCATTTTTAAGTTCATTTTTCTTTGTTAGGCGACAAAATACGTAGTTTTTGAAATATGTTTTAAACTTTACCGCTACAGTTTTGGTGGTAGATTTTGGAAATCCGTATTTCGTTTGAAATGCAAGCAAAATAGGCCTAATTACATGAAACTCACAACATAAGTAACTGGTTGGAAATAGCTTCATTTCACACGCTAAAACAGGTGACACATACAAATTATAAACATGCAGTTTGTAAATACTAATGTCCCAAGTTTGCGGTGATATGGGACCAGTTCAGTATGTGCAAGACAGGCCCTTGCGCTGGTATTCTACTGGCCCATTAAGTGACTTGCGGTCGAACAAGTCACCAATCGGACAACAATTAGTAACCAGTAATTTAAATTATTTACTAAAACACATAATATAACGAAATAAATAAATCAACAGTAAAAAATCAAAAACGGGTTGTTACATACATTAAAAAAGTCACTTAAATAGAAAACATAGAACCAATATCAATAAAACAACAAGGTGAATCAGAGCAGGTAAATATGCCCATTTGGCTTCTCCTTCATTTCAACGGTAACACGACAAGCTATATTAAATGTAGACAACTTAAGTGTGGGAGAGCCATGTTTTGTTACGACCGTAGTGATACCACGGCCAACAATATATAAACCGACGTGAAACAACGCTTGCGTTTTTTTTTTGTCGTGTAAGTGAGATAACTACTCCACCCTTCTCCAAACTCCCCAACCCCTAAATCTCCACCAATCCCGAAATTCCTAATCCCCAAAAAGCCGGTACCTACCGCATTTGTAACGCATCTAGAGTTCCAGGTGTCCATGGGCAACGTCAATGGCTTACTATCAGATGATCCGTCTGCTCGTTTACCCATAAAAAAACTAATTACCATCTTCAAACCAACGTAACCAAAATCCATATATTATGCAACAAAATAAATAAAGTACCTCACCGATTTTTCCTATCTCATTACGTATTCGCTGCCCTCAATCCTACGGCGACGCGACGTACAAAAACCGCATGTCATTTGGACCGTGTCTTGTGCAGATGGGTGCAGTGAGCTGTGCAGCCTGCACAACTGACGATATTAAGGTCAAACATCTAGGCACTATGTAAACGTGCACGAAAATAGTTTTGCGAAAATTCGCTCTGTATTTTTTGTGGGTGGAAAATTGTTGAAATGTTTCGGGCATTTCCTAATTATGTATAGCGTGTTGTTATTGTTAGTTGGAACGTTTTGGTTAATTGGTTTTTGTTTTTGAAGTGTTTTAAATGTTTGTATTATAATGGTTTATGTGTTTGGAACGAGAGAATTAGTGCAGCCTATAATTCTTTATCAAATTGCCTAAAATGCTTATAGTTCGTGTTGAAGATTTAAAGAGACTATTTCAATTATTATGTAGTCTATACATACGTGTAATATAACTAAATTTGGTCACTTATAGTTGATAATAGGCACTAATCACCATAACACAGTTCAAGAAACATCTGATTCCAAATTAGAAAAAAAATCTTTTTTTAAACGTTGCCGCACTTTACGATTTTTTCCTGTGTCGTGGGTACGCTTACAAACATACAAGTTCAAATACACAATGACACCCAGACCCGAAACTTTGTGTGATCCACAAAGTGTTGTTCCGTGCAGGAATCGAACCCGCGACACGTTGCACGGCAGCCAGTTGCCCAGTCACCGCATCAACCGTGCAGTCGAATATATAATAATTATGTTCTTTAAAAAAAACTTATGTAACCAATTTATCAATGCATATTTTCAACCACGTCCATATTATAATCACGAATTAAATCGCACGTGACACAGCGTTAGTCTATCAGATTTACTGGACAGGATTTGTCCAAGGTTAGACAAGATTGTGATATAAAAATTCAATTTATTTTCGAAGCCCAAGCCACAGGTTGAGCCCAAAATCTCCTGTTTATTAGCCACAACACTATCATCTCTACAAACGTACAAAATCCACTAATTTAAATTCTCGTAAGTTTTGTTCGCAAAGTCTGCAATCTGAAGTGGCAATGGGCAGGCCACGTCGCTCGAAGGACTGACGGCAGATTGACCAGGAAAGTCCTTGAGTAGAGACCACGGACCGGAAGACGAAGCGTGGGCAGTCCTCCCGTTAGGTGGACCGACGACATCGCCAGTGTTGCGGGGAGCCAGTAGATGCAGGTGGCGAGATGTCGTTCGACGTGGAGGACTAAGGGGGAAGCTTTTGTTCAGCAGTGGACGTCTTCCAGCTGTTGATGATGATGATGATGATGAAGTTTTATTCTTGACTTTAATTTTAAAACTAAAACATTATACATTTTATTTTCTGACCCTCTGAATAAATTACATTTAAATACTGGTTCAAAGAGAGAGTCGTAGAGGAATCAATGTAGTATGGCCCTGACATAAACATAGTACAATGACTTTTCTATTTCCTCATTCAACTTAAATTTCAGTGCCATATTGTCTAGAAGAGCTGAAGGGATATATTTTAAAAGCACATAACTCAAATTAACATAACATAACATACCGACTATTATCCCTGAAGGGGTAGGCAGAGGTGCACATTACGGCACTTAATGCCACTGTACAATGTAACACCTACTTTTTTCTCTTTTTCTTTTCACTACTTATGTTATGAGTCCCCTGTAATAAGAGGTGAGCCTATTGCCGTATACCGGGCACAATTTCAGACTCTGAGCTATCATTGAGATTTTTTTTTAAAAACCCAGTGGTACTTTGCCCTACCCGAGAATCGAACCCGAGACCCCTTGTCTGGCGGTCGCTCTTGAGACCACTCGGCCAACGAGGCAGTCAATAAAAAAATCAACGCAAATTCCATAAAAACGAATATTTCGACAGTAACAAAGCAGACACATCAAAATAAACTCTTTTTCTGGTTAAGGAAAATGAAGGAGCGTCTAAGAACCGTATCATGAGGGTTAATCTGCTTCGGTCATTTGAGGGAATGATCGCTATTTTTGCTACATTTGAGATTATAGGGGATCTTTTTACCGTAAAAGCCCCTTGGTCATCATTTGTCTTGCTGACAAACACGTTTCGGAATGTGATTTGTCTGTCATTCATTCCTGCATTCCGTGTTGTTGGAAGAAAAATTATAGCCCTCTGGATGATGTGGATTGTGGATTGAGTTACGGTTTAGCTAGCGGATTGGGTTATGATTTCGTGAGCTTCAACACATTATTTTGTGATTGTAACTTATGCATATTTATTTATGTACAAGCAGGGGCGTGCACAGAGATTTGAAGTAGGGTAGGCAGAAGGTATCACACGGTTAAAAATAAATTTGGTCTAGGTACATTAATCTCGGAAAATAAAACTCCCGAAACATCATAGTTTTGAGTAGGTAATTAGGTTTAGTAAGTATTTTATTAATTTGTATAAACAAATTAGGTACATAATTATTTTAAAACTATCCGTGTATAAAGTTGATCAACATAGATCTATCGGTATCTATTTTATAAATCTATTAACTAGGTAGGTACCTACTTTAGGGCGGCGAAGTACAAATGGCTACACATCAAGCTATGCGACACCAGTATAACTGACCGTTAAATGCATAGAGAAATCGTACAAAGCGAGATCAAGATACACTGGATGTTAAAAACAATAATTAAATTGGTACATAACCAGTGCTAACAAACTATACCTATAATCGCAAATCGTAGTTTATTAAAAGAAATAATAAAATTATTACCTTTTTTGAGTTACGCCTAGCCCGGACATACGACACACGCAAAATCGCCTTTGGAAATATTTTCGTTTCTTCTTCAAACGACAATAACGACAACGCACTCATATTGAATTTATTGAACAACACAAATCACCAGCACTGAGCTCACAGCTATAATTTTACATAATTTTCGGTAAATTAACAGTTCATTTAAATTATAATTCATTACATTACAATTTATTCACTTGCACATAAAAACATAACCAAAACAAAATGGCCAAAAAAACGTAAACAATAAGTTGACCAAAATTAATATATCTATTTTCAGTTAACAAACGCTACGTTTTGTTGACTTCTTAAATTAGTCGGATAACGAAGAAGCAGTGCTTTTGCAGTTG